AGGTAGTCAGAATTATGTATTTCCTTATTGCCCCAAATCCTGAACACTGCACAAATTAGTTTTTGCCTCTTAAGAAGAAACCTCCTCTCTCTCACTCTTCTCTATCCCCCCTCTTTCTCTTTCTCTTTTTACACCACATAATGTCAGTTTTCCGTCACTGCATCCACACACAAAAGAGCTGAGGATTTGTTGCACTGCATCTGCACAGACCTCAGAAGCTCTAAGCTAACTTATACTAGCATATAGTAGTAATATGTACTAATGTATTCTAGCTCTGGTGAATGCTAAAGCTCCTCCTTAAATTTAACAATACATCCTTAAGACATGAAAGTGAAATTATATTTGGCATTGAATAAATATCTTTTTCTCTAGCAGGAAAAAGCAGGAGGTCATGAGGGTTTATTTCAGTCATACAAAAACTAGAAGCCTGAACTGATGTTTCAGTTGCACACACTCACACACTTATGCTCATGCACCGACACTGCTACCTTCCTTTCCTAACAGGAGGATTTCACATGAGATGTGTGTACAGATGTGTAGTTTCAGGGCAAACAGATTTCCACATGGATATGCCCTGCAGCATTGTCAAAGATGTCATTCCTTTCAGCCACGTACAAAGAGAACATCGCACATTTGATACTTGTGATAGATGGTTGTTACGGTAAATGCGTTTCAAACCTCAATTACAAACACAACAGTGTCCTCCAGGGTTTCGTCTGCGTGTCTATGCGGCATCAAAGGATTTATCAATGTGTGTAATCTTTAATAAATGATGCTAGACCTGCCAGTTATTTAACTCGGAACAGCCCTCTGCAATCAAAGAAGACAAAGTAGGAAGTGATCTATTTAAGAGGGCAGCACTTGAAGTACAGATACCCTCCTGAATAATTGATTCCTTTAATCCTTTTGATTCAGTATCAATTCTATTATTTGTAAACCAGGCAGACCGACCAAAGAGAGCTTCTGATACATCCCCAGGCACATCTGACCATGAAGTGGCACACGGATAGTGGTATCCTCTACGCGTACGTACACATGTATAGTCACTGTTGTTCCACGCCAGCCACCTGAACTAAAGCAATTTAAAGCAAGTGGAGTTTTGTTAAATATTGGCAGGGTTATGGTAACAGTAATGCTAAGGCCATATTTTAAACCTTAACAAGCAAACAATTCTCAGAGCAACTGCATGACTTTCACATGCAGCTATTGCTGTTGTGGGCTTCAGCACATAATTGCCATTCCCTCCACGGTGTGCTCTGGCTCTGCAGGAAACGTTTCATTTGGATATAATGAACAGTTCCTTCCTGGGTGCCAGGATATGAGCAAGGCATCATCGACTAAGATTCAAAAGTGTTCCTTTTTAACAGTCTGTGAAGGCTCCAAGAGAAGAGTTTTACCTGGTATTTGTGGATGTCATGCATCCTCTGATTTCACATGTGCTCATTTTTATTTGTTTTTAATCATCTGAGCTATTTCAGAGACCTCTTTTTTTTCCCCAGGGATTATTTAAAGCGTATTTCCAAGCAAGGCCTGATAGGGTTTGGACAATTTTATTTGACAAGTTCAATTAGCTGAAGCTATCCATATGAAGTGATCCATATGTCCTTTAAATTAGCCATTGAAAAGGCCTCGACGGGTGGTTTAGGGTCTGCCTAGTTAGAGGAAACCATTGGCAACATACTCCAAGTGCTGTAGGTCTCGATCCATACTGGGACCAGGAAGAAGGAAATCTCCCAAATCATGCAACAAGAAATCTGTGCAGTCACGAGCCATTTCAGCTACACTGGGGTGAAATGACAATAAAAGATGAAAAAGTCAGGCTACACAGCCAGAATTCCCCATAATTCTGTATATTTACAAGCCACCATGAAGGGAGAATTTATATGTGGCACAGGGGGACTTCAGCAACCTTTTGGGGCAGGACCAAACAGCCCCACAAGGAAGAAGGCAACGGCTGCACCTACTTTGACTGACCTGAGCAGTTGTCCACTGCTATAACCCCATTTCTAATACATCTTCAGGCAACAATTATGGCTCCCACAGGCCACGTGCTCTTAAGGAGACCTTTCAGAACATCCTGCTGGACTCAGAGCAATCACAGGGGCTCTTCAAAGCATATCTCCAGCAGGTGAAGGTAGGTGAGAGCAGGGAAGCCGGCTCATGGAGGTTTGGCTCACATCTGAGCACAACTGCTGTCACATCTGTGTCAGAAACCAGCCAGAGACAGTGGGCTCCAGCACACACAGCACCGTGAGTGCTGCCAGCACAAACACAGATGGGGTCATGCCGCCAGCAGCCTCTGCTCCCCGGGCCCCCTCCAGCTGCCATCAGCTGCCATCTGCCTCCGAGCAGGACCCAGATGTTGCCACCTACTTTGCTATGGTTGGAAGGAAGGAGGCTCTCCAGCAAGTGTGCTCCACTAAAGCAGGGATAGGAGTTCAGAAAGGTAGCGAGGTGAAGGAAGGTGAATTTGTTCACAGGCAGCACTGCCTCTGCTTGTCAGAGCTGAGAAAATAACCCCACCGTTCTCACACAATATCGTGCCTGCATAAACCCATCCCTTGGCAGCGCAGCAGCGCTGGAGCGGTCTGTCCCTGAAGGATGTACCCCATGGGAGGGACCGGGGCTGGAGCAGAAACATGCGAGGAGTCCTCCCTGAGGAGGAAGGAGCAGCAGAGACAACGTGTGATGAGCTGACCACGCAACCCTACCCCAGCAGCAGCAACAGCAATGCTGGTTAAGCCTCATGCTACGCTACCTGCCGCAGAACTGAAGCGTGATGGGAAAAGCTCTGAATTTCCCAGCGTTCCGGTGATGATGTTTTACATCAGGTGTATGTGGTCAGTGCTGTACCCCATAAATGGAATCAGAGAATGGTTTGGCTTGGAAGGGACATTAAATCTCATCCAGTTCCAACCCCCTGCTGTGGGCAGGGACACCTCACACCAGATCAGGTTGCTCCAAGCCCCTGTGTCCAACCTGCCCTTAACACTGCCAGGGATGGAGCATTCACCACTTCTCTGGGCACTCTGTGCCAGCGCCTCAGCACCCTCACAGGGAAGAGCTTCTGCCTTAGATCTAACCTGAACTTCCCCTGTTCCAGTTTGAGCCCATCACCCCTTGTCCTATCACTACAGGCACATAACTCACTGGACAGAAAAGTCAGGAGTCCAGGTGCTAAACCAGTGTAGAATAATAATGAACTGCTTCGTGACGAGTGAAGTTTCTCTGCAGCCACAGAATGTTCAAGCCTGTCTAGGTGAATGGGGGAAGAATCATGAGAAATATTCAGATGTCAAAGTAAAATGCAGTAGCAGTGGTGTCAGAAGCAGCACCATGAAGCTTGCTTTGGGATAAAGAAGTCTCTGGAAGAACAAGTGAGCAAACCTGAAGCAATCTGGCTCGAAAACCTTCCACTCCTGAGAACGCTGCTTCAATTCAGACCCACAGATAGTTCTAAAAAATAACAAGTAAAATCACCAACTATTGAGGGAAACAATACATCCATCAAGCAATGAGTCAATAAAATATCACTAGGTAGATGTTCAATAAACTGTTGTACAGGCAGGCAATTACCCTGCTAGCATTACAAAGCAGGGACAGTTACTCAATACATTCAAAGGGCAAAGGATTGCTCAATGCTGTGCAGCAAGATACTGCACAGGGCACACAATAACTCTATAAATGGGCAAAGGGTGCAGCTGTATAACAGCTTGATTCGTTTTCCACCCTTCATTCTGTCTTACACTATTCTTACCAGATGTGTGGGTATGCTGCTTTCACCGAGTGCCTTGAGGCTTTGAACTGCTATGACTGACAGCAGTCAGGGATGGCAAGTGTGTTACCCTGGTTTCTCTTTTGGCCATGTAGGCACAACGTCTGCTGCAAGTGGCAAGTTGTGTGAGCATCCCACAGAAGCTTATGAGTTGAATTCAGGAGCTGATGCACCACAGACACAATAAAGGGAATAGACTCTGCCTTAGCAAACAGTAACATTTAAACCCAAGAGTGACCATGTTCCCAGGACTGACTTAGAACCATTTGAAGGATGGCAGCATAAGCTGTATAGCAAAAACGGATGGACCATTCACAAGATCTGTTTCTAGCTGGAATTGCTGATCTTCTAATTGAACACGGTCCCTTGCTACTATTCCGAAAGAGAACTGAGTAGATTTCACTCTAGTTCAGAGCTATTTGGCTTTACTGCCGAGCAAAAGACCTTGAGGTAGATACGTAAAATGTAAGTAGCTGATTTTACTTGTAGCAGCTGGCTTGTTCAGGGATATCAAGGATTAAAGATTGCGCTAAGGTCTTATGTGTACACTCTGAACAGGCATGTGCAGTCTTCTGCTAAGCAATGTGCATCAGTTCTGTGTGAGACTTTAAGAAAGGCATTCTTAAGACTGCTTCAAGAAAACCTTAGGAAAGAAGAGCTCTGCCTTTGCTGCCTTGCAGCAAGGACAGGACAACGAGGGAATGCTGTCTGCCTTCTCTGCAAGGAGACCAGAAGCAGCCCAGCTGCTCCTGCTTCCATGGGACAATGCAACTAACACCAACATTTTTCATGGCAAGGCCAATTCTAAACTCTGAACTGTAAGAACCAGAAAAATACTTGGAGTAAATTAATGTGCACCCTGAACTGCTCAGCGAGAGGAAATGAAACTGAGACAGAAATATCCTTCTTCCTTCAAGGATGTGTCTACTGATACAAACTGTGGTATGCCTGCACTCAGTTCCCACTGATAGCAGCTAGGGGGGAGCTATTACATGGCCCAGACCTTTTCCCCTGCCTACCTCCTTCCTGGATTTCGAAGGAAAGGATTTGAGTCAATGCCTCTGAGGCTTACAGGAAGTCTAAAAGGGGAATAGGATGCAAACCCAAAGGTGGAATCCTCCGGTATGGAAAAAATGCTAGAAACATTGCACAGTGACAACAGTAAAGTAAATGTGTATCAGGCCTGAGTCAAAATAACGATAGGACTGAAACCCAGAGCAGCACATAGTCATTAATGCCTTTGTGAAGTTTATTTGCATCATGCTCCTCAGCTCTCAGGATGCCCACATTTCTTTAGTCCTTCATCATCCCAGAGCTCAGAGACCTTTAAAGCATTTTAAATGAATGTTGAATTAATTCTCAGTTAAGACAAAAGATGAACTCTTGTGAGGTTTGCGGTAAGGTGTCAAGAACTGCCGGCACTGGAACTTGGTCGCTAGCCACATCTCAGGTCCACTTCTAAGACTGCAGGAAGTTTGGGCAAGATATATATATATATCAACTTCTATGCTCTGGAGATTCCTAGATTCATCAGTCCATGGAAAGCCACACATGCTGTTTTCCCTGATAGAAACTGTGACATTTTCCACCTGAGAAGAGAAAGAAGCTGCTCAGATCCAGTTAATTCTGTCTTAATGGTTTAAGGAACATACTTGAAGAGCTGGGACATGTTAGGATAGTGTTTAGTAGTATATTGCACACTTTTCTCTGTCTAATCTGAAAAGAGGTAAGATCAGAAAACGTCAAAATGTTGCAATTGCATTACCTCAGCTCCAGACCACAGAAAACATGCAACTGTAGTTCAAGAAATTAGACTGAAGAAGGCAGAGAAGCAAATGGGAAAAAAAAACCCAAACCCAAATCATAAGCAATAAAGCTGGAAGCTCAGAAGAAAAACAATGAATAAGGGGGAAAAAAATGGTTACTAAGGGTATTTTAAATCTATCCTTACATCTGCTACCAGAAATGACAGCTAGGCTTTCATCTCCTTCTGTGTAAGACGGTACTCCTTAGGAAGATGCCAAGCCAAACAGATCACTGAGACATCAAATGTTGATCTATTTGTAGTAAGGATGATAAAATTAATTCACAAAGACAGCATCTATAGGCTCAGAGAACTGCCTTAATCCTGAGTTATTTGCAAGACCCTGAAAATTCACCTGACTGTAAGTTTCCCAGCTCACATGCCATCTGGAGACCCATGTCCACCTTAGAGCAGAGCACAGTGACTAATTTGCTTTGCTTGCACCATGGTTTCAACAACAGCAGAGTGAAATTAGATCTTCCGTGAGGTGAAAATCATTAAATACTGGGTGAAAATGATTAAATTCACATAGCATTCCGTTGAATGGGCATGGACAGCTCATTTATTACACAATATTTCTATTTGTCAAGCCTGTCATGCGAGTGTGAACCCTTGAGGAGCAGCAGCTTTTCCCTTTGCTACATCATCCCAGACAGAATTTGTCACTTGATAGGCAGGTATTATTACCTTGGCCTTTTACACCGGCTAGGGACCTGTAGAGTGACACGTCAGCCCGCTGAGGCTCCCAGCTCATTGAAATGGACAGGGATTTCAACTCACAAAGGAAACTTTTCTAACTGTGACAGTCATCAAACCCCACCACAGGCTGCCCGTGGAAGTCGTGGAGTCTCCATCATCTGAGACACTCAAAACCTGACTGGCTGTGGCTCTGAGTGACCTGCTCTGGTTGATTCTGGTTCAAGCCAGGGTCTTGGATTAGATGATTTCCAGAGGTCTGTGCCACCCTCAGCCATCCTGTGAGTCTATGACCAGTTTTGCAGCTGGTATGACGTGGAGAAGGCCCTCTTCTCCCTGCCCCACATGAGTACTCAGCACAGTGCACAAGAGACCCTAATAAGAGCATTCAGCAGTACACAATGCCTGTGGTGCCTCCATAGCCAGACAGCAGCAGCCCATCTACCAGCTGTGGTTATTCAGAGAAGGAAACTTCCCCCTCCAGGATGCACCTCAGAATCTACAGGCTGAGCCTTAGGGCCTTCTTTAATCTAAAACTCACAAGATTTTAACCCTTTTTCCTACAGAGCAACAAACCAAAACCCCAAAACAACCAACCAAAACCAAACTACGCACCAAAACCCAACCCAAACCCTCAAAACACAGGGGAATCCAGGGAGGCTTCTGCCTTGGCTTCCAGCTTTGGGACCTCATATTAACCAGCTATGCCTTCCTGTCTTTGCACTTTGCTGAGATGTTTTCTACCACATCTTTTGCTTTCTCCATGTTTCTCTTCCTGTAGCTTTTCTCATCCTACATCTCTGTTGCCTTTTTCCATGTGAGGACACAGTTCCATTCCTCCCTAGGTCTACTGCTTGGACTGCACTGTCTCAGTGGAGCCATTTCTGGTTTGCAGGCAACTGCAGCTTGGGAACGCAGACCATGCACATGAGTATCTGCATGTGAACTTATGTCCTGTCATAATGGAGCTCTCTTCTGGAGCACTAGTTTGATCTTATTTAAATTAGCTTTTTAGAAATTAGCATCAAATTGCTAATTTGACCATTTTTAATCTTTTGGGTTACGTTCAAGCTTTTCAAGGTCCCAACCTCTGCTCTTAGAATCATAGGACTGTAGAATCAAACCAGGCTGGAAAAGCCCTTTAAGCTCATCCATTCCAACCATTCCCATCACTGCCAAGGCCACCACTGCCCCATGGCACTGAGGCCTCGTCTCCACGCTGTGTGAACACTTGCAGGGACGGTGACTGCAGCCCTGCCCTGGGCAGCCTGCTCCACACTGAACCCCCCAGGTCCCTCAGCCCTTCCCCATCACACTTGTGCTCCAGGCCCTGCACCAGCTCCATTGCCCTTCTCTGGCCCCACTCCATCACCTCAATGTCTCTCCTTTCTTTATCATTTATACCCATTTCTTTGGAATCCAGACTGTTTAAATGTAACACACACCCCTACCAGGCATTTGGCAGATGTATCACTCTGCCTAGCTGCTGCTAAACCACTGTTGAACAGATTGCTTTGGCTTTAGGGAAAACTGCAAACATGATTCTTATTTGGCTTACCCAGCAGAAATACCTACGGTGTTCCTGCCCTTATCTCTTCCTGCACCATTTTGATTTTCTTTTATTTTAAGATGAACAAACCAAGCAGTTAGGAACATTCAGTAAGAATGAACGGGTTGGGAATATGATTTCAACAGAAGCAATTTCCGAACAAACTGCAATGCGATTTCTGCAAGGCCTTTGTATTTTTACTAAACCCCATTTATTTTGCTACTGATTTTGATGGTTCATTCTGATCTGTAAGCACCCTGAAAGCCCGGCTGTGTACAGCTAGATTCATCTACAGAGAGCAACAGATGAGTAACTCAGTAGGCACTCCATAGTCGGTGGTAAGATAGTCACCTCAGGAAGTGATCAAGCCCACCAGAAACATGAATGACCATGTGTAGGTGTTCATCTCCTGTGTTCTTCTAGGCAGGAACTCATGTTCTTGACAAACACCCCACAGCATGGCAGGTAAAAGTGAGGGATGAAATGATGCCATTCTGCTTGCAGATTCCCTGCTGGCACCGTCTCCTCATTCCCTGCTCCAGGCTGCAGGGAGGTTTGGTCAGCTGGAGGAAGACAATGTGTTCTCCTTAGCACCTTAACAAAAGTCAATCTCCAGTGCACGTTTAGTGGCTTATGGCTCAGTCCAGCTCTCATTGACTCTGCTGAGAGCTACATAAGGGCTCTTGTAGAAGAAAACACAACTTCCTTATGGATGTAAGTTCTAGTTCACACATTCCATGGATAATAAGCCTCCAGACTGCAGCAAGTCTTGGCCTCGAGAAGGATCTCCTTGTAAGTTATGCAGACTTCAAAAGTAAGGAGCTGCATAATGGCTGTGGAGTTGCTGTATGGACTCTGTTTATTGTATGGTCTGCATTGTATGTCACCTCTTTCTCCACTATCTGCACTACATGCCCATGACAAACTGGATTACAGCACAGACTGGCAGGGTTTGCTGGCAACATCCCCTGGTGCTTCCTTCAGAAATCTCTTGCTATTTTGACTTGACCTCTAGATTTCACACGTGGGTTTCGACTGAAAGGGAATGAAATGGAAAATGCATTTTGGCATTCACACTTTGCTCTTCTACATCACCTCCACTAACACCCCCTGCTGACACAAAAAGATAACCCTTAATTCCAGGAAATCGGGATGGCAGAAATAGAAGAGATCTTACCCAGGAGAGCATAAGAAGTCAAAGGTGTTGTGTGTCTTTGGGGGAATTTCCCTTTGGGGTGGAAATTCGTTCTAACATTTAACAGCAACCCAATCAAAGAGGTAAAAATCACCCTGGTTTAAACGTTGAAGAAAGAAGTTCTTTGTCCTAGTCTGAGCTCTTCGCTCCTTCAGGCTATTTTATGCCACAATTGCTGTGCTTCCATTTGGATTCCCACCAAAGACAGCTGCTGGAATTTACCGGTAAAGTAAGCCCACAGGTGGCAGGGCCTGCTGAAAGTAACTGATGCATTGACTGTGTCCTCAGTTACCTTAGGCACATTGTGGACAACACCATCAATAATTGAGTGCGTCCCTCCCTCATGGATTGAAGAAAAGGACATGGTGCCAACTCTTTCTCCTTTGGGAGCCTCCTGCAGCCTTCTACCTGTAAGCAAATACAGGTTCAATTCTTCAGCTATAAACTCTATCCAAACCAATGGATCAAAAGTTTAGGTCTTGACTTTCAATTACCTGTGTACATTTTGATATGCTACTATGGTACTTATTTAAATTGTTTAACACATCCCTAGAGGTTTATACTATGTTGCATGGGTAAGCACATTGTCTCCCCGTTTCCATTGCCTTGAGCTGTTTGTTTTAATTCTCTCAAGTTCCCAGCTACAGAAAAACCCACAAGACAACCAACAGCAACAGATCTGAACCCTTGGAAACTGCCTAATGTGCTGTCTGTAGGAATAGGTACACTAGATTGAGGCACACACCTGGTGAGTTCTGTATTCTTTCTCTGCTCACAGCTGGTAGCAGCTGCTTAAGAATAAGTACAAGCCCTTCACCTGAAATACTCTCCCAGATTCCAGCAATCAGAAGTTCAGGAACTTTCTGATATAAATCTGCACTCTATATTCTTCAATAATCACCACGGTTTTGTGCTCTGTGAGAAACCTGTTTGTATTTACAGCTTGGAACGCCCGGTTGGACAGTGTAACTATTTGCTATATTAGAATCTTCTTCCTCTGAGTTGTTTTAAATTTGCTGCTTTTATAATTCCACTGGATGAGCTCTAGCTCTTCCGAAGGAATGGTGGAAAGCACTAATCTTCCTAAAAACTCCCTTGGCTGTTCAAAAAGCAAGTAGAATATGAGGAGTCATTAGAAAGGACACAAGAGGAAAACAGAAAACAGCATTACATATGTTAGTGTAAAACTGCGTTGTCCCCATATTTTAATGCAATATTTCATTTGATTACCCCCAAAAATACTCAGCAGAAAAATAGAGAATTACCGATATGGCAGACAAAGATGACCAAAGGTAAGTCATGAAGAGAAAAGAACAACAAACTTCTGGGTTTCTGAAGTCACACAGGAAATGTCAAGAAACCAAAGCACTTCTACAAGGTGTCTAGAGGACCATGAGTTACAAAGATTAAAAAGAACTGCAGAATTTGTTAAGAAAATAGATTGCTACTGTGTATGCTTTAGATTGCTCCAATGCTTTACTGAAAGAACTACCTTTAGTACTTTTAGTAACTAACCTCATTTAATGTTTTCCATTTGAAATATGCTACTACTAACTCGTAGTAAGTACAAGTAAGGACTTCTATCCTTACTCGTGCCTACACATGCTCATTCATTGAGTACAAATGTATGACGTATGAAACAGGAGACCTTGGACCTTAGGCTTCAATTTTACATTAAGCTCTGTATAACAATGCCATCTGTGCACACTTGCACACACACAGACACACTCTAGCAAGGTCAGTGCCTCAATTTCTAGTAAGCCCCTGTCATTATGGCAATACACGTAAAGAGCTGTGCTGCAGCCAAGTCTTTCGCTTTATTTCTGGCTTATCTCTAAACAGCTTCATCTGAGATATACAGGACCAAACAGAAGAGTAGAAAATCCATAGGAAATCATTTTACAAAGGTGGATTTGAAGGTATGAAAGCTAATGCCAAAATGAAATTGTTTAGTATGTAGAACTTAGCATCTGAAAAGACAATACAGGCCAGCGTTTACTGCTTAATGGCTTGGATCAGTCTGGCTCAATACTCTTCAACTCCCCTGAAGGACCCTTTTTAAGGAGGTGTTTTAAGCTAAGTTTTCAGGTTGTGAAGGGCTCACTGACATCAAGAGCTGTGATGCTGTGTGCTTCCGTATCACGGTGTTCTTTGGGAACGTGGGGGTTGGCTTGGTTTTTAAAGGTGCCTTGCTGAGATGTTTGTAAACACTAAAGCATGTCCTCGCCCTAATCTTCATTGCTATTTGACCATTTGCCTTGTGGTCTTGCACAAGATGCATGTTGACATTAGGCTGCCATAAACAGTTGATGATAGTTCGTGGAATTAATGGGCCAGGAGGAGAAGGGCATGTAGGAAACTCCTTCCTCATTCTGGATGACGGGTTGATCAATGGTACTGCATTGTAGCTGTCCTATTGATACGGGAAGTTGAGGATTAAATACTCTTTCCAATATTGTCACTGGTGCATTTTCTACAAATAGGCTGGCACAGCTTTGTTTTCTCTATACTTTCTGATCCATTATATCCACTGCAGGATTACTTGCTTAGGGATTGAACTGAAATGTTTCTATAGAAAAGCATCTCTTTTTCAAAAGGGAAATAAAGAGATAATGCATCTTACAACAAACTGTGCTGCATGGAGTAATGCCTTATAATCTTCTCACTGCTCTTTATAACATTAGAGAGAACTAAGGACCCTTTATAGATTCCATTTAGTTTGCCACTGGTAACAGAGCTCAGGGTATTAAAGTGACTCTGGCATCTGTTCCCTGAATCTAGAGGAGGGTCTCTCTTAGCTGCTGCAGAATAAAGCCTCATTCTCCTTGAGGCAGAAGGAACAGAATGCAATGTGAGTGGCCACATGAAGCAGGTTTCAGTCTCTCAAACAAGGGGCGATGGTATCTGTACTAAACTGATTATGAGCTATACTACATACTTCCATTTTCTTTGATGATATAAGAAGAGACGAGACTAAAAAGCAGTGCTCCTAAGGCTTCTGCTCTGTGGTGCATCTCCAGCTGTTTCCCAAGATATACATATCAGGAAAGAGCTTTTAATTGTGTCCAATTCTCTGTCCATGGATGCACTTGCAGGGGTGTAGGAGAGACTTGAGGGGAAGCACACTGGAGCACAGCAGGCAGAATCATCATTTCTAAGAGGTCTAGAAGCTTTTAGGTGCTTCTGCCAAAAGCCTGTCCAGTGACTCATGATGTCCTGTGTGCATTTGAGCAATCTTGATGGGAAAGAACCCTGCAGATCTCTCTGTTGTTCTGAAGGGTAAAAACAAGCCCATACGTTTTCAGAAGCCATACATGACTTTCAAAGTGCTGGTCTGTTTTAAACAGTGTACTGCGTCCTGCCATCTGGAAGCAGGATGTTACTTGACATGCATCAATTCTTCAGGAATGGAGGCTCTACAGTGGCCCAACCTGCAGCCTATTTTCACCTCAAGATCATCTTTGCCTACAGAGCAGAAGAAAACATTCTGCTTTTCACATTTATTCTCTCTCAAAGAAGGATCCTCTGGGGTGTTTTATGATCTGCTTCCCCATTAGCATTTGTGGGAGGAATGATCTAGCAGTACTGACTTGCAAATATTGATTGTATCCCATGGAAAAGTAAGTAGTTCTGATTGTATCACCTCAGGAGGAGTTTATTGCATGGAATAGGCTGTCATGAAAGCTGTATTGTTACATACGTAAAATAGCTCTAATACATAGGGGGAAATTGAGGTTTTACACCTCTGCACGCTGTCTTTAAAGCAACATAAAAGCTTCAGGCTTTACAATGGCATTTGCTTTCATTGTTAATATCCTACACAGGTATTTGCTGCTTACTACTTTTGCTGTTGTTGGCCTGAAACAGGCTGGGGAGGACTTGCTCTCCTTGACAGCTATCTGCTGTGTACAGCACATGCTTTGTCAGGCTTTGAAATGGCTGCCCCGGTTTAGCACTGGTTTTAGTGAAAGCTCTACCAGTTCACACTGATGCAAGCGAGAGCAGAGAGTATCTATATTGAGGATAGAGCTGGACAAGCCCTTGATCAAGGTGATGCCATCAGGGCTTTTAGCAGGTGCTCAGCCTCACTGAGCATTCCCAGCTGAGTGTTTTTGCTCCCATGGCTCAGCTGGTGGGATGGGACATGCAAAGCTTCCTTCCTCAGGTAGAAGGGAACCTGGGAGGAAAGCAATGACAGATGCTAGCTACCTGGAAGGGCACAGAAACACACTGCACCTTGCTTTGAACCTGCAGGTATAAACCCTAAACGTGAACATCTTACCTTAACTTCCTCATAGCTGTATGAGATTTAGATTGCAGCTGTATTTTGGCTCAATGACAAATCAGCTTTGAAGTTCTAGCCTGAATTTGGGCTTTGGGTCCATTTTTGTAGTCAGGTGTGTGTCTCAGACTGGTAGTAACTCTCAAATGAATTCATTTTCAAGCTGTTCCTTGGTCTAAACAAACAAGAGCAGATAAGACAGGAAAGAGGATACTTAAGTTCTCAGGTATCACCTACAGTTTTCCATCACTGGGAATAAAGACATAGAAACGCATGATCCATCTAAACAGTGGAGGAGCTGAGGGATCAATAAGGAGGAGGAGGGAAAGAACAGATACTTGTTAGAGTTTGCATAAAAGATTCCTAAACAGGCAGCTGAGAATAGGATGTTCTCTCTGCCAAAATAATGAAAAACAGATTGCAAAGCAAATTAATGGCAAAGGGCAGCGTCTGGGCAAAAGTGGCTGCATACACTTCTGATGTATTCCAAGGGGAAATACGACAAGACCATAGAACAGAACCAGAATATATTACCATTTTGAGTTCCTCCTCTAATGCTAATCAGCCTGCTGAGCTTTAGTTTCCTTGGACATTGCTCAACAATGGGCGAGATAAACTGACGTGTGGAGAAGATCAACCACACTTTGTTAACCCTGAACCAGTTTAATTAACTGAAAGGGAAGGGGCCATCCGCAGGGAATTAACTGAAAGGGAAGGAGCCATCTATACCTATGTAGAAAAGAGCTTGGTGTGTGATCTGGGAAGTCAGTCCATCCAGGGGTCTGACTTCCACAGTAGGCAAGTTGATGGGAATGACAATAATGAATCAGTTCAGTGCACATAAGGGTGATACAGGGGGAAGTTCAGGTTAGATCTAAGGCAGAAGCTCTTCCCTGTGAGGGTGCTGAGGCGCTGGCACAGGGTGCCCAGAGAAGCTGTGGCTGCCCCATCCCTGGCAGTTCTCAAGGCCAGGTTGGACACAGGGGCTTGGAGCAACCTGGCCTGGTGTGAGGTGTCCCTGTCCATGGCAGGGGTTGGAACAGGATGAGCTTTAAGGTCCTTTCCAACCCAAACCAGTCTGGTGTTCCATGATTCTATACAATGGGAAAAAGCAAAATCCTT